AGGCTGAGAACCATTGTACCAGAAGCTAACTCTAGCAGTTGGAAAAATATGCAGAAAACTTTGAAGAAATACTACACTAAATCCAATGTTGACTTTGACCGTAAGGAAAGCTCAGCGTCCATCCATTATCTCATATGAAGTTCTGTAGAGATTTCTAACAGTTTGGAAAATTATATATCATAATAGGAGAGATTTCCGCTCAACCAATTTCTCAGGCTTGTCTATCAAACCACAGTGACTCTGTAGAGAGCCACTTAAAAGTATGCAGATGTCCAAGGTAGCATTCTCCTATACAAATTATCCAACCGTATCATCAAGTGATATGTGATGATTATACCGTATATCCTAGGTCTTTTGCTGGGAAAAGTAGTAAGTGGTGATTGGGAGACAGTGAAGAAAAAATAAAACAAAATCCACCCTACTACAAAATCATAAGCACTTGGGTGCAATCCTTTCTGTTCTCTCCTTCAGGCCAGCCCAGGACCCGAGCCCATGTATGGTGCTGCCCATAAGCAGGGGCCTTCCCATCCCAGTTAACCCAACCTAGAAACTCTCTTACAGACATACCCAGAAGTTTGCCTCCTTTGTGATTCTGCATCCTGTCAGTTTGACAATGTTAACTATTAAATGATCACCAGACATGAAGGCATTCTTTGAATACTCAAAATAACACTGTATGAACCCAGGCAGCTGGCTGATGGGAATCTTGCCATATTGGTAGTTTGATATAAGGACAAGGACACTTTAAGTAGGATATAAGGTCATGAGGAACCATAACCACACAGACTTTAAATAAACATTCTAGAGTCATCTTTTAAGTGTTCACCTGTCCTAGGCTCTTCAGGAAAATTGATGTTATAAATATTATATTTGGTTGTTAGATCATCCCCCTTTGATGAAGAAAGGTCAATACAGCCATATCTGCATGAAAGAGCTGGCAAATATATTCATTGCAAGTTATGGAGAAAATCTATCTAATCAAGCACTTTTTTCCTCCTTAGAGGCACATGAAATATTAAAAAATGAAAGGACTGCACAGATTATTTTATTAGGTACTTATTCTTAAAATGAGGAATATTCTATAAAAGGAAAGACAGTTAATTGGCTCTCTTCTTTTATTTAGGAATGTGGGCATAAGTATATATAATGTTCTCTATGATGTTTAAAAATAACCATTAACAGCTATTAGGACTTCCTTGGAAACCACTTTCAGGATTTAGCATGTCAAGATTTCTTTTTCTTATTTAAATCATTTCTGTTGCGATAAAATCTACCTTGTTTATTCAGTCATGTGTTCATTCAATAGCCTGTAAGTATCTCCCATAGGCCAACAGTATTCTAGACCCTAGGGATTCAATAGTGAATCTACCTGATTATGAGTGTTTGCTCTGATACTTTTCTTTTTGGTAAATGAAATGTATTAGAAGATTCCTTATGTCCATGACCATAGCTGCTACTGAAAGGGCAGCTGCCAGTGCCTTGAAGTAGTTTGGGCAGAGGCCAGGGGACCTACAATGTAGCTTAGCAGAAAGAAATGTGCAAGCCCAAGATTTCTTTCTATGGAGAATTTAAACCAAGAAACTATCCCAGTTTTCAAATTAACATGTGTCTATTGTTAGGAGGCAGATAAAATTATAAAGAATCTGAAATAAGCAAAAAGGTTCTAAAAGGCAGAATAAAGAATGCAAATGACTGGGCTGACAAGATGGCTCATGAGTAGAGAGAGCTTACAGTGTGAGCCTAAATATGTGAGTTCGGACCCCAGAACCCAAGCAAAATGTTGAGCACTCTTGTTTATGTCTGTAGTTTCAGTTCTGAGAGGCAGAGAGACAGGGGGATCCTGTGGGCTCATTGGTCAGACAGTCTAGTTCATTTGGTGAGCTTTGGGTTCAGTGCAACCCTGTCTCAAAGGTTGCAAAGAGCATTTGAGGAAGACAGCCACAGTTAACTCTGACACATACACACACACACACACACACACACACACACACACACACACACACGAGCCAGCCAAGCACACATGTTTACACTTGAAAAAAAAAAAAAAAGAAGGATGAGTCCTATCTTGGCACACATCTCTAAACATAGCAGTTGGGAAGCTAAGGTAGGAGGACCATGAGTCTCAGGTTATCCTGGGCTACATAGCAAAATACTATCTCAATAAAATAAAACAGCACAATATAAACTAAAGCAGCATAGCGAATAAAAGGAATGGAAACGAGTTGGCATGGCGAGGAGGGGAAAAACAGAAATAACATGGATCACAGGAGAAACATATATCTGAGGCATGTTGTGGATTGCCTTAGTATCTGATTGAGTTTCAGTCTCAAGTAGATGGTGTTTTCGTTGTTGTACTTTTAAGATACTCACACCCTAACCCTTTGAAATAAGCATCTCTTAGTTCCTTGCATTTAAAGAGATCAAGTTAACTGTATGATTTTCTTAGCCAATTAACATGAGGTACAAGAGACAAAATACAAAATGTAGGGTTTAAAAAAATTTTCTTTGTTTGATGTTGTTCTAGGAATTGAACATAGAGCTAGGGCCTGTATACTAAGCATGTATTTAGTCACTGAGCTATGTCCCCACCCGAGGAGTGGACTTTAAACTAAACGATCAGCTTTGAAATAAATAAAAGTTAGTCCCACTTGACCTCTATCTGTATGGATTTACAAGTTTGCCTGTAAGTCAGACCAGCAGCTTACAGGCTGTTGTTTTGGGGACCTTTACTCCTTGTTTTAAATATCAACAATTGTGTTTGAACATTACCCCAGAACTGAAATAACATTCAGCCTTTGATCTAGGAAAGCTTGTCAGTCACTTATTTCTTTCACTCTTTTGGATTGTTTTTGTGTTATCTTGATTTTGGAGTTTAGATCAGATAGCAACCATGTCCACAAAGGCTTGCCGCGGCTTAGTGTTTTGCAGATAATGGTTAACATTTATCGTGCACCGCTTCTGTGAGTAAGAGCCTTGAATTAGTAACTCTAATAGTCACAAAAACTCTTTGAGGTAGATAGTATAATTACTCCCATTTTACGGAGATGGAAGCACAAAACAGAGAGGGTAAAAAAAAATTGTTTTAATAGAGTTGTAGCTATTAAATGATGAAGCCAAGATCCAAATATAATCAGAATCTACATTCTGAATTACAACTTTATACAGGCTTGTTTCCATGGAAACCATACAAGATCCTGACTAACCAGAGGTTATATTCTTGTTCCTGCTGGAAGCTATACTGCAATGGAAATGAACTCCTTCACTAAATATGCTATGTATGATCAAGACAAGCAGACAGCATCTTTGCCTTCAAGAGGGCCTTCTAGCTTTTCAGTCTTCTAGCAATTTGGTCAGAGTTAGTATTTTTCCTTAGAATCTAATATTCCTTCAGATGAATTCAAAGATTTTTGTTTTCAAATAGAAATTTACTTAGTGCCTTTTTTTATTTTTCAAAAGTTACAACTTTGTTACACATGAAGTGTTGGATTTCATCACAACATTTTCCTGTGTGTTTGTCATTATACTTCTCCTGATTCACTTTCCTCTCCCACCACCCTTTTCCAACTGGCTTGATTGCCTCTTGCTGGAGAATTTGTAAGATGTAAAGCTGAACAAACACTGGAACATTGGTGACACCAGAGAGGTTTATTCCTCCTGGGGCAAGTATTGTGGTCAGTTCTTAATTTTGGCTGGAACCTATTAATTTTTACCTTGAACCTATTCTATCCTTCTGAGTCCATGTCCTTATTTTTTGGTTTTTAATCCTTAAATGTGGATGTAGAAAGTGATGGTCTTCGTTGCATTTCTTTCAAGAATTTTTCTGACTTGCTTTCATTTTTGTAATATGCTAATGATCCAGCTTAATATAATTTATCAAATCACAATGACACTGCACCAATTGTATCAGGATTAGGTTCATTGCAGTATAACAGTAAAAGCTGTATGTTAGGGGCTTAGGTAGTGTCACATTTATTTCTTTTTCATATTAAATAATAGGGTGAACAGTCCAAGATTGGCACAGAGGGTCCACAAAGTTGTTGGGGATCCTACTCCTCTTAACTCACTATTACTCTCTGTGTAGACAATGACTCTCTCCCACCTATACCACGGGCCGAGAAGGTTTCTGACACCATATCTTGACTTAGGTAAGAGGATGGAGAAAAGGGACAGACTGGTCTCTCTCTTCCTTTTTAAGAAAATTTAAAAATATAGGTCCCATACATCATACCTGGCTAGATTTCAATAGCCAGAATTTGATTCGATGGCCACTTTTTCTGCAAAGGAAACCGAGAAGTAAGATTTTAGTTGTTTTAACAGGAATATGTAGAAATGAAGGTTTGTAACGTGAGATGATAAATATAGAGAGATAATTTGAAGTCTGCTACAGGTACCTTACATGTGTTTCATGATCTATAAAAAAATCACCGGTGATATTCATTGGATAGTGTCATTAATGAACATAAAACCAATTAAGGATTTTTTTCTGTTTTTTTTTTTTTAAATTTCACTTTATAGTACTGTGTTGTGCCTAAAATTGGTGCCTAAAATAAACATATGTGGAAACATCTTAGGCAAAATGGAGAACATACTGGAGGGTACAAAAACACTCTAGGAAGAGACAAATGTACACAGACATGCAGAAATTTAACCGCTGCTCACAAAGCCTGGAAATGAGGATTTGAGTGTAAAACCCTGCAAGTTAGTTGTCTCTTTTGCTTCTCTCTTTTCACTGACTTTATTCTGTTGGTGCAGAACAGTTTTATTCACTTGGTAAACAGCACATTCAGTAACATCTTTTAGCTTTGATATCTAGTGAGGCCCGAGACCTCTCTTCCAAGTCTAAAAGTCCTGAAGGAAAAGCTTCATTGGGTCTCTTTGGACAGGTGCCCACCTCTTGCCCGGTGAACTATGGCCAGGGACAGTCAGCAGTAACTTGGATGCCTTGATGCTTGATGTTGCCATGATGGAGAAATATTGGGGGGGGGGAAGCCAGCTTTTTTTTTTTTTTTTTTTTTTTGTGGGTATTGGCCACAAATCACACATAATTAAAAAGTGTCTACACATATGATGTAAGAATATAGGTTGGTGGTTCAAGCTAAATGGTTAATGAGGATGTAGACAAAATTAGTCACCGATAAACTTGTTTAACAAGGCTGTATTGTAAATAAGGCTTACTGTTTGTTAGCTTGGTGCTTGATGCTTTTTAATATATTGAGTTATTACCTCTTTTGTAGCTCTATAAACTTGTTATTATCCCTTTTCACAGATGGAAAAATCTGAATTTAGGATTAAATTCAGGCTATGTATATTATTTATATTTGGGCTTTGTGTATGGGTGTGTCATGGGGTGATAGATTCATGTGCTTGTGCCCATGAACAGTCGTGCAGAATCCACAGGAAGATGTTGGATGTCTTCCTCCATTCCTTTCTGTCCTTCCCTAGGGACAGGGTCTCCTCCCTGAATCTGAATTTGGTGTTTCAAGTAAGCTGGGGGGCCACCTTGCTTGTCTTGGTTCTCTTTATTGGGGTTATAGACATGGGCTGCCATGTCTGACTCTCCGTTTTAAAATACAGGCCCTGGCGACTGAACTCTGGTTCTAGTGCTTGCACCACATATTCTCTTAGCCACCAAGGAATATATATATACTCCTAAATATAAGCCATTGAGTTTGTACAATGTTATTTGCATATATGTTTTCAGGACTAATTGTTTGGCACTGGACAGCCAAGTGGTATGCTCCACTCTGGGGAACAAATCCACCTCTGTCACCCACAGATTTCCTCAATTGCCTGTAGTTCTTTGTGTAGGGTTGAAGTCTCACGGGCCTCTCCCCTGTCTACCTTGGCATGACCTTTGTTGTCATCCTTGTTCAGTTCCCACTTGGTGTAGTTTCTGATGTTATTAAAGACACAATCTCACAGCAACCCCCCTGATCCTTTGGCTCTTACAGTCTTTCCAGTCCCTTTTCCACAGTGTTCCTTGAGCCATAGATATGGGACTGTTGGATAGATGTACCCATCAGGACTGGATTCTACAACTTTGCATAGTGATTGGTTGTGGTATTCTGTAGTAGTATCCATCTTTTGCGAACAGACGTTTCCTTGGCGATAAGTGAAGGCTACAATTATCTGTGGGTACACGATCAAATGTTTATAGGGTGTGACGATGGATTATGCTAGCTTAGTAAATTAGTGGTTATAGCGTCTCCTCCAATAACCATGACTTCATTAGCCTTGGGCAGCTGGCTAGGTTTCCACTACCGGGCATGTTTTTCCTCTTGTTGAGTGGGTGGTAAAGTACAATTAGAGAGCTGTTGGTTACCACCAAATTATTCATGCCACTACTGCACCCTTATTGTGCCATGCTGGTCATTGACGTGGTTCACAGGCATCAATAGTTGAGCAGGACTGTTGCTTTCCTCCCTCCTCTGGAAGCTTGCATGCCTACTGGTAATGCGAAAGCTAATCCTCATGGAGGAGTCCTTCAAGTCAGTTCCAGCTCAGGGGCCTCTGGTCCCTGTTTCTGAAGTGCACGATGTTTTTAGCAATAGCAACTTACCTTCCATCTCTGCTCCCAGACAACCAAGGACAACAGCAATAGGCTATATGCTTGGGGGGTCTCAAGGACAGCCCTTACTGACAACTCAAGAGGCCTTCTTATGTCTAGTATTGGGATTTTTGTTACCTGGTATTTGACTCTTAGAGAGAGCACCATTAGCTTAGACAGTCTTTTTTTTTTTTCTTCTTCTTTCCTTTTTTGTTCTGAGACAGGGTTTCTCTGTGTAGCCCTGGTTGCCCTGGAACTCATTCTGTAACATCTGGCCTCAAACTCAGAGACCCATCTGCTTCTGCCTCCTGAGTGCTGAGATTAAAGGTATGTATCACCACCACCTGACCTGACAGTCCAATTTTCTAATGAAAGCTATCAGTTGTTCTTTTTCAACCCTCACATCTGCCATAATGAAGCTGGGTGAATTTGATACATCTTGTAATCTCCAGTCTTACTCTCTTCATCTAAAATGACTGGATTAAATTACTTTCTTCCATTTATCAATTGAGATATTTCAGAAGGCAGTAATGAAAGCTAATGTTTTAAAATTTTCCAGTGCATACTATATTTCTGAAAAGTACTTTTGAACTAATAACCCTTTGTTGAAAACGATGATGAAATTAAATACATACAAAATGAAGTTTCTACCTACAAGAGTTATAAGGGAACAAACAAATGGCATTATCATTTTGCAGAATCAAGAGTTCAGAAACAACAGCCTTCTCAAGTGGTATGACCCTCAGCTCAATTGTATTTTCCAGAGTTTTCCTGTCTCGCTGTCATCTTTAGTGTGTTCATTTTACAGCCAGTTCAGCTTGCACACTGATGTCCGCAGCACTTTGGTTTATAGGCTGACTTATTCACACCTAGGGGAAAGAGAATCCTCTCTCTGAAGCATGGTCTGAAAGTCGACCTTTTGGTCCAATGGGGCTGGTTTACTCCAGGAATGTAACAATATTGAGATTAATTATAATACTTTGGGACTACTCTGATTCTAGTACAATCTACCTAACATAACTTAGATTCTAGGTCACACTGCAGTAAAAAAAAAAAATAAATAAATAAAAAATACAGCCAAATCTCAGTGCTTTAACATCAAAGGTAGGTAGATCATTTGCTCAAATTGTGTGAAGGAGGTGGATGGGTTGCTTCCTGGGGTCGTTGTTTGCGAGCCTGAGGCAAATGCTTCACCCTCTTCAGCAATCCCAGTCTCACTGCATGTGGAGGTGCATGCTTCTCAGTGCTTGGCAAGGCTAATATGGGCAACTTGGCAAAGTCTTGTCTTAAGGTTCGGATTTGCTGGCGGCACCTGAAACAAACAAACAAACAAACAAACAACAACAAAACACCCCACTGGGCCAGTGAGATGGCTCAGTAGGTAAAGGCACTTGTCACCCAGCCCGATGATCTGAGTTTGATCCTGGGGACCTACCTGATAAAAGGAAAGAGGAAAGAACTGATCTCCCATACACAGGAGTGCTGCTGTGACATGTTGCCACGCAGTAACCACACACACATAGACACACACACACACACACACACACACAAATGTAATAATTTTAAAAACCACCCACACCGATCTTGAGACTAAGCAATAGTAAATACGTTAAGGACTAATACTGATAGATATGCCCAGAAATGACAACACTTCTATTGACCAACAGTGATAGACCCTTGTCTCATGATTTGGCCTAGTGACAAACGGGAGGGATGCTGAGGGCAGGTATAACATTTTTAATGTCTGAAAGGAGAAGGCTAACTGTGGTTCTCTGCTCTACCTCAGTAGAGTCAGGCTGAGGTATTCTGCAGTGGTTATCTAAAAAGCTAGTGAATTAAAACAAAACCAGACCCACAAAACTCTGACTAATAAGAAGGAAACTGGAGTGGACGGCGAATGAATCTACAGTATGAAGTGTATGCGGTTTATACTTGAGGAAGACAGGGCTTCAGCTGCAGAGGCGAGTCATAAGAAGAGAAAGTTGGCCTAGTTTCATCAGCCTTGAAATCAGTCACCTCATCTACTCTCCTGAGGTGGTGATTAGCTTTAGCTTTTTAATGAGGACTTGGCTCAAAAGTGACTTACGCCACTTACTGGATTTGAAGATACAGACTACTTTTTTCATATTTCATTTTTGTAGTCCCTGTTAATGTATCAAATTCAGTTTTAGAACTAGTGATTAACAACCTTTCTAGTATCATTTTTTTTTTAAAAAAATTTATTTTACAGATGAGAAAAGAGGAGGCATCCAATGAATAAATATCATTACTGAAGGGCCCACCTTCTTGTCCGTAGTAGTAACAGTATTATCCTTTGCGTGATTTCCCGCAAAATACATAGGTGAAAAGGCATATGGCAACCACTGTAAAACAACAACAACAAAAAAAATTAAGTTATCAAGAATGTTTCCAGAGCAATGTTAGCTGGTATACATTGGTAGAGATGCAAAAGTTTCTTTCCCTTTTTTTTTTTTTTGAGACTAGGTTTTTCTGTGTTGCCTTGGCTGTCCTGGACTTGCTTTTGTAGACTAGGCTGGCCTGGAACTCACAGAGATCCACCTGCCTATGCTTCCTTGAGTGCTGGGATTACAGGCATGCACTCCGTACCCGGCTGCAAAAGTTTCTACATTACTTGATAAGCAGCTGTTTCTCTATCTCCCGAGAGCCTCATGTACTCCTGAGACCCTATTGACTTCCCCACTGCAGTCACAGAAGGAGGCACCTCAAAGGTTTGATTTGAGAATTAAATGATGGAAGAAAAGAGTTTAGCATGGGGCCTTGTTCTCAGCAACGTTACACCTTCACTGTTATTTTTATTGTAGGCATAATGAAATGGCAGTAAATTTCAAACTGGTTTCTACATGAATGTTCACAACTCAGGAAATATGATAGCATTCAAGTTCATTAACTTTGATCTAGCTAATCTCTCGATAAAATGGACACTCATGTATTTCACTTTCATTGTGATATTTCTCATTATCTAGGAGTTGACTCCTTTCTTGCCTCGCATCCTAGTTCTCCGCAGTTCTAGCTGATGACTAAGAACCGACCCAGGCTGAACCACAGAAAAAAATAATGAGCTGCCAGGGCCCCAACTTAGTACAACGGGTGAAGGACAATGTTCTGAACTTTTTTTTTCTTTCTCTAATGTCTTTTCTGCGATTTTGAGGGTAGGTAAAGACAGGTTCACAACTTCATTTGTTAAGGGAGCAGTGGGGCTGAGGTGGCGCTAATGCAAATCGGAAACCAGGGATTAGAGTCAAAAGTGAGCAGCTGGAGTGAGAAGAGAGAGAGTGAGGAGTTTCAGCCGCAGAGTGGGGAGGCTGTAGACTGTGGAGAAAATGCCCTCCGAAGGTGCTTTCTGTGAGTGACGTGTAGAGCTGTTCAGAGATGCTCTCTCAGAAATTTAACATGGCGAGAGGAAGATTTGAGTCACATAACTCAAATCTTTGGAAAGAATAGAAATGTAGTAACAATTTTTTTTTATAGTGTTGGAAATGGAATCTAGGGCTTGTAGTGAGTTAGACAAGCACTCTCTCTAACTAAGCCTCCCTCTGCATTTTTATGTTTGAATCAATTAATCACTATTATTATTAGTGACAGGGTTTTGCTAGGTATCCAAGGACGGCACTGGGCTCACGAGATACTCCAGGCTAGACCGTAACTCACAACAATCCTCTTGCCTCAGACTTCCCTCCTCAGTGCTGGGATTACAGGCATGGACCACAGTGATTGATTGGTTTAAGACTATATAGTTTTTAAAAGCTGAGACAGTTGTCTGCACTGAAAGAGGCCAGTAAGCATTCCTATTTGAAGTGCATTCTTCAGGAATTCATTACCGGTCTGGAACTAAATGTATAGATTTGATTCTACATGTCAGTTGCTCAGCTTGATACTTCCAGTTCTACATCCGGGGCATATCCTACGGAGGGCTTTGAGAACAGGATTCTGTCACACTGAGCAGAGCTCAGAATTGCTGAAGAACTATTTTCTGACTGTATTCCAGACTGTATTCAGTTTGGTGCTTTCTTATATACTACGCTATTGCTATAAAAATGTACTAAGTTCTTGAGCAATATTTCTAGCCGTTTTTTTTTTTTTTTTTTGATAGGAAGTGGGTGAAGATAAATGCTTATTCCTAGATTTTTAGTGTTTCTTAGGGGAAAATTAAGGCCAGATTAAAGGACCACAGAGTTTCAGGTGAACATAAAGCTTTGAATGTGGAGATTTTCAATCACTGTAAACCATAAAGTGTTAACTAGAAATGGTTCCTCTTTTTCCCTTCAAAGAACATTTAAGTCACACATAATTGTTAAAATATTTTTTAAATGCTGTGTTTAAGCCTCAAAGTAAACATTCCACCTCTAACTCTTTAAAATGTTCTAGGCTGTGGGTGTAGCCCACGGGAAAACACATCCTTACCATACACAAAAAGGAAAATACTTCAGATTTTTGACTGTTGAAACGTTGGCCCTTAATCCATCTAAGTACAGTATAAGCCTAAATTTTGTTTATTTGCAACAACAAAAGAAGGTGACTCATACAGCAGAACTGCAAGTCTCACGGAAGATACTGAGCATCTACACGTTAAATAAATGACTACTGATTTGTCGAATGATGACACCCAAGTTCTCTGGCTAGACCACAATTCTTATATCACCAGAGCGGTTTTGTGTGACCTTCAATAAGTCAGTGCTTCTCCAAGATAATTCAGAGTGCTTTATTTTCATATATTATTTCGAAGACTGACATTAACGCAGTCACTGGTCGGGAAAAGCTTCTCTCGGGTGCAGAGCTGCTGAAGGCACAGGTTCGTTCCCGCCCCCGCCTCTCCAGAAAGCAGTGTCCCTCTTTTTCATTTCAGAAACACAGTTCCCGGTCTAGAATAAATACTGGCAATTTATGAGCGCTATTAGGCAGATTGCATTCTTGGCAGGCAACGACCTCCTTAACGTCTTCTCTGTCTTTCGATACTTAAGCATCTAAAAGGCCTGTCCTGTTGACTCAGAGATGAGCACCCATAGTATATACTAAAATACATCTGTGTGGAGGGCAGCTTTTCCGTCCAGCCACCCCCGCCCGCGCCCTCAGGCTTGGGATCTGGGCCCCCAGGCTACGGGGAAGAGTTCGGCCCGCGAAGCTACCTTCCGGGCCTCTGATTGGCCAGTTCGCACTCCACTCACTGGGCTCCCGGCTCTGATTGGCCCCGGCGGCACCCCTTGGCCCGTGACTACTTTGTGCGCCCGGGCGGCGGGGCCCGGTCCTCCGTCTCAGCTAGCTCGCACCCTGAGCCGGGCTGGGTAGCCCTCCGGCCCGCGGCTCGGCCTCGCGGGCGCCAGGATCTCCCAGTGCGAGCGGGTAGGAAGCAGCCCAGGGAAAAGCCTCCCCCGTCTACTCCCGTACTCAATAAACTTCCGCCTCCGAGGGGCGGAGAGGCCGGGCTTCGAACTCGGGCCCCGCAGGGGGGTCTTTCCCTGCGTTCGGAGCTGGACACAACCCGCGGGCCGGCCCGGTCACCCCGGGCCGCGGAGGCAGCGGTCCCACGGCGTGCTCGCGCCGCAGCGGATGAGCAGCAGCAGCACAGTACCCCGAAAGTAGCGCGGGGCCCGACCGAGCCCCAGGGCGCGGGAAGCGTCCTCCTGCCTCCGGCCCTCGGGTGGCGGAGGGAGGCCTGAGCCTGTGCAGACCGGAGCCCGGGCCGCGCCTGGAACCCGGGTGCCGCCGCGGCCCGGGAATGCTGCAGCGGTGCGGCGCGCCCGCACAGAGGAAGGGGACGGGGCGGAGCCTGTGCACATGCCGGGGTCGCCGGAGGAGGCCCGGGCCGGCGCATGCGCGCCCTCCCCCAGAAGGCCGGGACGCCGAGGGGCGCGCGCCCCTGGCCGCGCGCGTGCGCGCGCCCGGCCGCCCGCTCGCTCCCGTCGGCCCGAGGCTTCCCCCGCCCGCGCTCCGGGTCGGAGCCGCTCCGGCGCGTGCGCGCGTGGTCTCGGGCCGAGCCGAGTGGCCCGGTCCCCCCCAGCCCCCGGCTCCGGGCTCCCGCCGCCCCCTCCGGGCTCCCGGCCAACCCGTCCTTCCCTCTCCTCCCGGAATGGGGCCGGCGCGGCCCGGGGTCGCGCGCCCTGGCCCCGGCCCGCGCTCGGTCTCGCGCTGTCAGCCGCTGCTCGGCTCGCGCCGCCTTGCGCTTTCCCTCAGTCAGTGGCGCCGGAGGGAGCTCCGTTAAGCGGCGGCCGCGGTTCCTGTTTCCGTTTCTTCCTCTCCCTTCAGTCGGGAGTAGCATCCTCCACCCCTCCGCCCCTCCCGCTCTCCCCGGCGCGGCCAGCTGCAGCCGAAGGCAGCGGCCGTGGCGACGGGGGACGGCGCCGGCCGCCTCGGGTAAGGGGGCGTTAGGGAGCCGGGCCCCGCGCGCCCCGGGCTCCGGGACGGGGCGGGCGCGGGCTCCGCGGGAGCCTGGGCTCGGGGCGCTCCTCCTTCCTCCCGCCGATCCCGGGCCTGTTGCTGCTGCAAACTGCTGCCGCTGCTGCCGCTGCCGCCGCTCTTCCAGCGGCCCCGGGAAAAGTGGGGAGGGAGCCTCCGGGACGCCCCGGCGGGGCCTCGCGCGGGCAGGGGTGAGGGGCGCCGCCGCCGCGTTGCGCACCCCAGCCCGGGCCGGGGTCCGGAGCCCGGAGCCCGGGACCCGGAGGATGGGGGCGGGGTGGGGGTGTCCCTCAGCGCATCTCTGCACCTACCGCTCCTTGTCCCCCGCGGCGGGGTCCCCGTGGCCAGACCGTGGGAAGGCGGGTTCCTCTGCCTTGCGGGGTTTCTGTGTGGGTTTCTGGGGCTGGAAACCGGAGTGAACCCGCACGGAGATCCGTCCCGGAGAGCGGCGGAGGCTGGGCAGTGAATGGCCTGGGTGCCTCGGTCTCCCCCCTCCCTTTGATCGGCGACTGACAAGCCGGCGGCTGTGGAGGGTCTCAACTTGTAGGGGAAGGTTAAATGAGTCACAGCGGTCCAGCGGAGGTCTGTCCTGCTGGAGTCGAGGGGGTATGTCGGTGGCCGCACCTGTTCCCTGGACGTGGGCTTTGCAATCCCCGGAGATTATTTCTTAAGTTAAATGGCATTGTCATGGTTAGGGTTCAGCACCCTGGTGAGCTTTGAGCGTTCTGCCTTACACGCTGAGGCCTTGGAGAACAGCAAGGGGAGGGGTGTTTTTCCTTCTTGTGTCTAATTTTGCACAGTTACTTTTAAGAAAACGCAAGAAGGTGAATTCAGGAAAGCCATACCCTCTCGTAGATCACTCCGAACTTAAATGGTTCAGGGAACAAATGCCACGCGAGTTTTATCAGCCTAAGAGTTAAATTTATCATAAGTCACTGACTTAACTTTGCATTTGCTCCGTGGAAACTCTGAAGTAGATTTTACTTTAGTTTTCTTGCTCCTCCTGGGGTTAGGTGCTTATTTAGTTTCTTGATTAAAGTTCTGTGTTATATGCATACTTGTTTTAAAGGGTGAATCACATATTTTTTGTTGTTTTTTTTTTTGGAGAGAAATTATATACTCAAGCAAAAGTAAGATGCTTCTCTAAGGCAACATAGGAATCAGGCAATAATACAGTCTTGTACATTGCTGTCCCTATGAAATAAGACGTCTTAATTGTAAACATGACAGTATTTTAACACGTAAGCATTTGGAATGGGAGGCCGAGTACAAGTGTAGAGAAGGAGATGAATAGGCTATCAAGAACCTACAGCGCTGGTTTGGAGGTTTGGTCTTCTGTTTGCCGTTCTATACATGAAGAGTTGTGTTTGCATGGAAGAGCTCAACAGCTGGAGTGAGACCTGCGTGGATTGCAGGGACCTGCAGACATGCCTTTGATCAGATAATGAGGAAATACGAAGGGTGTCTTGTGATCCAGCCAGGAGAGTGAGTCAAAACTATCTAAATATGACACACTACAGATCGCAATTTAAGGATTTTAAAAATTTAAGTGATTTGAGTTTTTTTTTTTTCTTACAAATCAGCTCTATTTAAGATGTATAGAACTGAGACCAAGACAGTCATTCTGAATATACAACTTATCTTTAAAAATGAATTCTAACCAGGTTTAAAAAAAAAATTTTTTTTTAAAAGAAGTAACAATGTCCTCAAAAGTGATGAATTTTGAAATTTTCTAGTGGGTTATAAAAATTTGTGTTTCTTGTTTGTTTTTTTAAATGCAGTTATTTTAGGTTGGTCTGGAGGGGGAGCTAGTGCCAAAGCAAAATGTAGCGAAATAGCTGTTTGAACTTTCGAAACATTTAAAACCAGGTTTTTATGACCAGGAGAAGGGTACATTTTAAATTACAATACCAGGGGTACTGAGGTGGACATATTAATTGTTATTTGTGGGGTGCATATAGTGGATGCTAGAGATTAGTTTTAAAAATTAGTCATCATGAATAAGAAAAGCAGGTATGTAAGATTCTTGAATCTCTCATGTAAACTTCTGAAAATGTATGCTAAAGCTTGAGTATGTTGTGGCATTTTCTTATTCCTCTCGTGGAGTGTATTAAAAGTGAAGGTGTTTCTATGACCCCTTTGCACACATGCATGTTTTTGCTTTATAAAATACGTTCTCCCAAAAAGCTAAAACAAAAAGCCATAGAATAAAAAGCTTCAAAAGTAGAGTCCTGGAGCGGTAGGTGCAGCCAACGCGTAGTGAGTTTACTCTGGCAAAAACAGAGAAGTTTAGTAAAGAAATGAGCCCTTTGTATTGTTGGACAGCAGAATCTCAAGGCCGTCTTGTAATCTGTAATATACTGAATTTGTTTGATTGCAGTTATTTTGTGATCTGTGGCATTTTGTTTAATTTCTAAACTGTAATGTCTTTGATTTGTGTCTGATCACTCACATGCTCCTTAAATCCACACAAAGAAATTGATAATGATGTATTTAAAAAATCATTAAAATATTTATTTTTTTGAGTATAGTGATTGAGCCTTTTATTATTCACGTTCTTCACTTAAGTAAATAGAACCTTGCTAGTGCTAATTAAAAAATAGATTTCTTTCCATTCAGTGGTTGTTATCGATTTACTTTATAAATTGCATTTAGTAGAAGCATATTGGCTTAACCAAAATGATAGACGCAGACATTTTATAGCATGCTTATAAATCTGGAAGTATTTCATTTTACAAACACAAGACTTTAGAAAAGTTACTACTTTTTTTTTTTTTTCTTAAAAGGAAACAGAAGTAAGATTGCAAACAACTGAAACCAAAGGTATATGCTCTCCATTAGTCCCAAAGTTGGTGCTCTTCAGATGATTATGTCAGAAGTAAGGATCAGTACAGGATTCGCTTTGGTTCTCTTATTCTCTGGCTCACATTTCTCTACCACAAAGTAGAATGGATTACTGTTTAACTTGTAGCTCAGTGTAATGAGACAGTCAAAGGTGCTTAAAAGTAAACACATGCTTACAACTGATTTTTAAAAATTTCTTTATTTGTCTTTATTTTATGTGCACTGGTGTTTTGCCTGCATGTATGTCAGTGGTCAGAACCAGGAGTTATAGACAGGTGTGAGTTGCCCTGTGGGTGCTGGGAACTGAACCTGGGTCCTCTGGAAGAACAGCCAGTGCTCTTGAGCACTGAGCCAGCTCTCAGTCCCTACAGCTGATTTTTAAAGAGTCTTAAAAAAATCCCCAACAGGGAGGGGCATGCATGCAGAAAGGGGAGGGAGGGTGGGATCGGGAGAGGAGGAGGGAGGGGCTTATGGGGGGATACAAAATGAATAAAGTGTAATTAATAAAAAATAAAAAAAGGTTAAAAAAATCCCCAACAGACTACAGAATTTATATGATATTGTATATTTTCCTTTTAATGGAATATGGGCTAAATAGGCCTGCTATGGAATTAGGCCATGCTTGTCAGTTTTAGAGTTATTCATGTACACCACAGAATGCATGGTGGTAAAAGGCCACTTTCATTTAAGTTGTTTGTATGTTCTCTTTTGTGAGACAGGGTCTCACTCTGTAGCCATTGTTGGCCTGGAAGTCACTAGATGTAGCTCAGGCTGGACTTGAACTCAGCCTGCCAAGTTGTGGGATTATAGACATGCAGCATTACCCTCCCCCCCCCCCCAACAAGACTGTATTTGCCAAAACTAGTACCTCACCCTTGCATTACTATTTAAAACAGTTCTTTATAATGTTTTTTGTCAGAAATTGACATTGTAAGGAGGAAATATCATTTAAACAAGATGTCAAATCGTACTAATAGTTAGAACTATAATAAATTTGTCTAGGGTATAGATAGACAGCATAAACAATGGTTTGGGGGAATGTAGCCTAGTTGGTAGGTGCTTGCCTAACGTGCGTGAAGTGTCAGGTTTGATCTTCATCCCTAGCACTGCACAGATGGGATGTGGAGGTAAAGGGTGGTTAGAAGTTTAAGACTAGCTAAGGATGGAGACGTTGTCTTAAACAAGCACACAAATAACCCCTTCCCGTAAACCAAATACAAATCATCAGACTAAACGCATGCCAGTGTTTATGAATGACTTGTTTTTATAATTAGTTTGTGTATTTTAAATGCAATTGATAGTAAATTTAGCGTTGATAAAGATGGAGAATATAATTAATAGCTTCTCTATTACATCCAGTGTCTGGGGCTTGGGGGCAGTCATTGAGGACAGGGAGGCTAGGAGAGGCAGAGGAGATTTGATGAGCCTGTCTTTGTGTTTTCCTTTCCTTTTCTTTCTTTTTTTTTTTTCTTTTTTGTTCTTTTTATCTTATGGTGTAGCCCAGCAGGCTGGCCTCAAATTTGCTGTGATCCTTACATCAGACTAGTGCTAGGATTTACAGTCATATGCCACAGGGTTCTGCTCTATCCTTATGGTTTTTTTTTTTTTTTCCTCTTAGGTTCATAGGTTTCTCAAGTAAAACTTTGGTTGGTGTGTTGCATCTATTTGTCTTGTCTCTGTCTCTCTTTCGGCAGCAAAGATAGAAGACCAAAATACTAGTCTTGTAGAGTTTAATGTTGTTAAGAAAATAACTGTAACTTCATTTATAAAAGGTTATGGGATAGTGAGTATCTCAGTGGTTGAACATGTGCCTAACACCAAAAGCAGCAAAGAAAGATAGTATGGTATTACAAAGGTTGTCAGTTGCATTATTGTTCTACTTAAGATAGTCTCCTAATTTCCTGGAATGCATTCTCTTGTCTCGTAACGTTATTTCTGTCTTTGTCTGTAGAGTTCCTGATTACAAGATTACAAGGAGCGTTTTTTTTTTTTTTTTAAGAAAATGAATTATTTATCTTTGCATACTTTGCAATAATATACTGTAAAAAGCAAAACAGAACATGGAGATTCACTGAAGAGAATTCAGTCTAAAATGAACAACAGTGTTCTCTGCC